ACTGTCATAACTTGGAGTAGAAGCATTTTAAGTGAGATCAGCTGCTTTCCGGATTGGTACAAGGCCCTGCATTTGTGTGTTAATGTAACTTTCTCTTCACTTAAATGGCATGGCCTTATCTTTTCCAGATTAAAGAACCACATGGCATGAGTGGATTTTTCGAGTTTCTTGCTGGGAAGATTAGACTCATTAAGCTCGGAAGGTAGAGAAACAGTGAGGCCCAATGGGTAAGTCACCACCCCAGAGATTATGATTGAAATTCAAAGTGTTACATTGGAGGAGAGAGAAACAAACTAGTGCAAGTGGCACTAGTGAGAATTGCGCGTGTATTCAGGAAGACCTCTGCATGTTGTGTAAGGATGTGGAAGGACATAAGCTGAGGCTGAGAAAGAATTACTTAATAGAGCTATTTACCAAGAACTTGTGGAAATTACAAATGACATAGGAATATATGACAGTGTTAAAACTTTCTGGTAATTGAAAGACAATTAGAGCAACAATGAAATACTATTTTGTGCTTATCAAATTTGCAGAGTTAAGAATGAATATTAGAAAGCACTTTGGGAAATGGGATATTTCTAACATAACGATGGGTAGTAAACTGGTTCAACCTTGATGGAAGCAATGTGTCAAAATACATTCAAAACAATATTAACATTCAACATCTACAAATTCACTTTTTCAGAATCAGATACATGCAAAAATGTAAAAGCAAGGATATTTAGCACCATTTTACTGATAATATGAGATGCAAACTATGTAACCAACCTCTTTAGTGACAGGTTACATAAATTATGAAACAAAGAAATTTGTTATAGCTATTAATGACATTTTGGACAGATATTTAACAGTGTAAAATATGTTTTATATATGAAGGTGAAAACAGGGGGCAGAAGTATTTACAGCATAATGCCAATTTTCTTAATGTGTGTGTATGTTCATATATGTGTATATTACAAATAAATAGTTGGATACAGATACGTGAAAACATTTATTGCAATTTCTCTGTAGCAGATTTCTAGGTAATTTAAATTTTCCTCCTTGGGGTTCCTGTCAATTTACAAATTACTCAGAATTATAATGTGCTATGCTTCTAATCATAATAAGTATATTTTTACATTCGTATTTCTGAAAGGAACAACCAAAGTCAGTCCTGTACTTAGACCTGTTTTTCATAGCTGTACCTGTGGATATTGAATTAGCTGATCTCTATGGTTCTTTCTGTTTCTAAAGTTTTACAAATACATTTTATGAAAAACAGTGATTTAGAGACATACAGATGGACAGACAGGCAGACTCAAGTCTTATGAAGAGACAAAAAGCAACACACAACCACACAGTCAGAAAGCACTGAAGTTCCAGAGAGACACTGTCACTGTGTTTCTCAGTGGGAATCTCACGTGGTTCCACTCTGATGGGCACCCGGACTTGGCAGTGACATCTAAGTTAGTATCGCTGTTTTTAAAGGTGATAATGATGATGGAAAAAACAGTAACTTTAAGTACAAGTATAACTATATACTCTCTGCTAGGTAATGCATGCTGTGTATACATGGCATTTTAGGTACTGAGATGCTCATTTTATATAGAAAGAACGTTACAGAAATTAAATAGAAGTTTAACGTTTCATGACCAATAATCAAATGACAATATTTCTTATACTTTCTTTACTTTTAATTTTCACCTTTTTAAATATAAGCCTTAGTTTTACCACAGACCTTTCCCTCTCATTTTGAGGGGGCAAAGGTATTTCTCTTGTAAACTCAGAGGGATTTATCAATTTACTAACAATGCCTGAATTCCCTTTGATATTGAAACTATCAGATCACCTGGTCTTTTATGAAAGAAAATAAAGCTGCTTTAATTAATTACACTTGAAATTTACGTTGAAATTATTTACTATTTGGGGGTCTTTAAAAACTGAAAAGCAAGTGTTTTGTTGTTGTGAGAAAGAATGAATGGGGAGAAATTTTAATAATAAATAAATTAAAATTGCTTTACAGCATTTTGAATGCTTTACCAAACCTTCACCAAATCTGATAAGAATGGTATAGTAATGATGATCTACTGGGAAATACTCTTTTCCAGGCTTTAGCTCACATTCCCATGTTCCCATGGCTACATGAAGCCAGAGGTTTAGGTAATATAACCTGTGTAACCAAAATGATTAACAGAATAGAAAATTGATCTTATGAGAACAGGGTTCTATGTGACACACTTTGCAATGCAGAAGAAATGAAACTACTCACTACTCGGGTAATAATCAGTTGTTCCCTAAATCTACTTGGTGGGGGGAACAATGTTAACAGAGGCAAAGTATTTAAATTCCCTACAAAGACAATTCCTAATAGTGAGTGTTGCTAAATAAGGGAACTGAATTTTGAAAAGGACTTATATCGGTCTAAACTCTGATTGCTGAATATGTAACATAGGTCTGTAGGAATCAACTTATTTCTCACAAAAGAACTGTACTTGTATAACCTGCGTTGTGCTAATCTTGAGTTATCCTAATCTCTGGCATAAAGATGCGCTTTTTGTTAGCTGAGAATACAATGCAACTATATATCTCTCGTTATACAGAAGCTCATGTAACAGACACAGTTATACTTTACAAATGTGGGAGAGACTTTCAAGGAGATAAAGTTTTTTGTTCCCAAATGATTTTTAAGTAGAACATATTGATTCCAATTTTCTTGCATAAATATGGTCCCATCTAACAGCAACAATGGCAGAACTAGAGACCCAAATCTTTCATTCCTTCTTGGCTAATTTTCTCAGCATGGAACAGTAAGGTTAACAGAAAATGTGACTGCTTTTCAGTATGCAAACTGTCTGAGGGACATTTTTCTCTGAACTCTAAGTTTGAATTAAGTTCTTTTGGATAACTGCCGAGTCCCAAACTTTAGACATAATCTGGTCTGAAAATTCATACAAATTTTGCCAATTTATTAAATGAGATTTGTATTTGAAAATATTTTCCGCCAATACATAATAGTTATCCTTTGACAGCCTAACAAGGGATGCAAAATTACACTTTAGGGCCCTGATATCTAAGTACAATTTTAACATTGGGAATATACCAACATAATACTTGCATATTAAAATACATTTGTAAGAAAAATTTTTGGTATTTTGGTTGGTGTTTTTTTTTAAGCAATAATATATCAGAACAACAATATGGACTAAAAGCCCTGCTGAGTAAGCTGCAAATAATTTCTTTTCGGCAATTAAAAAAAAAAAAAAAAAAAAAGAACCAACAAATAAACTAAAACTAGTGTTTCTTTTTACTTGTGCAATAATTGACTCAAACCATGCTTGATTTAACAACTCCGAAAGAAAGAATGTGAGAACGGCCGTCCTCAGACAGAAACCAACTTTAGCTGTCCCAGGGCTCGGCCTCTTATTTAAGAGTTCTGTCAGGATGCCTTTATGTTGCCTACACACACTCATGTATCCTTGCTTTGTTCACAGAACAATTTAGTTTCTGGAAAACCTGCTTTGATTTAACAATTCCCTTGAATATTGCCTCCCACAAATTCTCAGCTAACAAGGAGAAACTCCATGTTCTTCACCAAGCAGAACCACCATGTATCAATGCCATTTAGTTGTAAGATAAGCATTCAGTTCTAAGATATCTCACAGTGGTAAGATAACCCCTATAATGTTTCTGCTGATCCGTTGCTTTAAAAAGTATAGCTGCCACTCCAGTTGCTGTCTATATTTGAGAGCTGGCATCATTAACTACAATCACCTCAAGTCACAACCAAAGAACATGAGCATGTGATAAATTATCTACCACTGTAACCAAATAAAAGAAGAAAAAGAACTTTGAACAAAAGAGAAAAAATGATCTCATCTTGAGATATATTTTATTATCTCCCCTTTCCTTAAATAAGAACACGTAGGACACAAACACTCCCATCCCAACTTCGCTTACTACCACACCAAAGCATCTCTCAAGACTGTTCTTGGAGTGAAGGAGATTCAAAACCCAGAAGCTTTCAACAGATGCCTATTTATAGGGTCAGAATGGCTAATTCAGTTAGCATTTTAGTTTCTGCTATAACAAACAGTTATCCAAAGTAACACATGCCTTTTTATTCCATAAAATGTAAACTAGACTAGATAGGCAACAATAATTTAAAGAAAATATATATTTTCTCTGATGGTAAGTATAGCTCAATCCAGATTTTTATTTACTTTGTACTTTTAAAAAAATTTAATTTGTACTTTTTCTTGCATCTTCCTTTAGACTCCCAAACAGTTTTACACAAATACATTAAATATAAGATAGCACAAAGCTATGGTTTTGCTCAGAAACTTAAGATAAACATACATAAAAGTCATATGTCTATCAATCCAATAATCTGTCACTGTTTATGTCATTCTTATTAATAAAAGAGCTATATCTGCTTAGCCAAGCCAACTATCACAAATAATCTGGCTGGGCACAGTGGCTCACATATGTAATCTCAGCACGTTGGGAGGCTGAGGCAGTAGGACCACTTGAGCTCGGGAGTTCAAGACCAACCTGGGCAACATAGCAAGATCTCATTTCTTCAAATAATAATAATAACAACAATAATAAACAGCCGAGGATGGTGGCACATGTCTGTGGCCCCAGCTACTCAAGATGCTGAGGCAGGAGGATCATTTGAACTTGTGAGGTCAAGGCTGCAGTGAGTTGTGACTGCACCACCGCACTCCAGCCTGGGTGACAGAGTAAGACCCCAAATCAGAAGACAGGAAAAAGAAACAAGAAAAAGAATCCAAAATTACACATTCTTGGCTTGGCTATTTAATTTTTTTTTTTACCTGAGTCAGTTCAAGGGTGACAGAGATAACCCAATAGGAGTTATAAACCAAACCACAGAATTAACAAGCATCAATTGGCTAGTTAATTAGCCATTTTTTTCTTCAAGTACATCTGCCTGAGATCAATCTCCTTTAAATTTACCCCCACGGAGGCTCACTCATTGTGACTGCCCTTCTTCTACGTACTGGGAATTTGTTGGATCCTGTGGACAACGACAAATGCATCGGACAGTCCAACTTTCACTGGATGATTGGTTGAACTTATCTGTGTGACCAAGACAGGAATCTGGAAAAAAAAAAAAAAAAAAAAAGCAGGTTGCTACATGTTAGATCTGAATTTCTTATAGGGAAGAAAGGTAGTAGGATCCTCTTGTTTCATGGACAAAACCACGGGAAGGAGGTAAAAGACTAGAGAGGGAGCCCAAAGTATTAGAAAAGAGGGACATACAAAACCAAAAAATTACATCGGTTTAGTGCTATTGAATGAATAGAAGAGACAGATAGTTCCTGGTTCTAAAGATGGCTATTTGATGTTGAAAGTAATAGATTATCAGAGAATATAATTGATGCTAGATGCTGCAAACTTATCACACATATAGGCACATCATGAATGCATTTAGTGCTGGCTATAATTTTGGAAACAGAGATTCTCCTCTTACTCTTTGTTTTCCAACAAAAACTTCATTGTATACTTGTTTTTATAGAATTTTAGAAAATCTTTGTTTATAAGCAGTCTTATAGATATAAAACCTAGAGAAAAACAAATAAATACACTGTTAAATATACATTCGACAATATCGTCATTGATTAATATCTAATTAAATTTGGCAATCATTTCACCGTTTTGTTTGAAACTACTGTGAAAGACTTCTAAGCTCTTATGGTCATCTCAGTGTGACAGTTCTTGTATTTGAATCTCAATGAAACCAAGACCTGAATACGATAGACATTTCTAATATTTACAGTTAAAAAAATACAATACATTGAGAATATATGAAAAATGATATGAGAGTTATAAATGACATGAACTCTTGGGGTCCATTTTTCCAGATTCAGAAAAGATTCATTGGAGATATGATTACTCTCTTTATTATCAGTTTTATAGAAACAAAAATGGGAATGAAACCATCTTCAATAAACAAAGAAACGGGACAGTAAAAGAAAAGAGTAAATGCAGCAAAAACGTCTTTAGGCAGAATAAGCAGATTTTGGGCCATCTGTGGGTAATTCATTAAATAATATGTTAGATCAGATATTGCTGTATAAGCCACAATAAACAGCATAACAATAAGAAGGGGATAAGTTGGAGAGAATATATAGTAAGTTGGAGAGAATATATAATATAATATAATATAATATAATATAATATAATATAATATATAATAGAAACTCTGTGACTTATTTTTGACCAAGACATCATGAAACTGTGAAAAGGGCTATTTTGTTGAAATGGACAAATTAAGAAAAAAGTTCATTGCTCTTGGAATTTGTGGAATTACCTTGAAACAAGTAAATAGAAGATGACATTTTCCCTTAATGTACTATTTCAGGTCTCTCTTAAACAACGTTAAATTGTTTGCCAATTTTGTGTCAGTATGCTCAGTTCTTAACCAATTTGCATCACTATGCTCAATTCTTTACTAATATAAATTAGTCTTTTGTATTTGGATAACAGAAACACACAAAACAAGCAAAACAAAATCAAGATTTATATCCCAGTCTGATGTACTTTATTTTTTATTTTTTATTTTTGAGACAGTCTCACTCCATCTCCCAGGCTGGAGTGTAACCTCTGCCTCCCAGGTTCAAGCTATTCTCATGCCTCAGTCTCCCAAATAGCTGGGATTACAGGCGTGCGTCACCACACCCAGCTAGATTTTTTTTTTTTGTATTTTTAGTGGAGATGGGGTTTCACCATGTTGGTCAGGCTGGTCTGGAACTCCTGGCCTCAAGTGATCCACCCACCTCTGCCTCCCAAAGTGCTGGATTGCAGCTGTGGGCTACTGCGTCTGGCTGATATACTTTATTTACTGATTTACTAATCTAAATTCAGTATCAATATGTGAAATCCCCTTTCTTATTGAGCATTATACTGTTTCCCAGTCTTACACCCTGTGTTGAGGACTCTAATATGAAAGTAATTTGTATTTAAGACAGACTTACAGTTAAAGCATACAAGAAGATGGAAAAGCATAGGGAAAAATTCCAATTCACTTATATATTTTTGTATCCTAATAAGACATGATCATCTCATTTTTAAGCAGCATCTATTAACAGAAGCAAGCATCTATTATTACCATCATATAAATGCCACTGTTCCTGTCATTTGTCATTTGACCCCCTTCTCCAACATTTATGAGTTCAGGTTTCCTCTGCAAGTTGCAAAAGGCTTTACCAGATAATTCTGTGGTAATTTATTGTATGTCTTCTTTTCCCATACCCACAGCAGTACTTGAGTTTATACTGCTATCAGTTGGAAAATCCTATTATATCATTATGCATAGTACATGTTTATTTCAGAGCTTGTTTTTTAAGTCACATGTCTTGGTTCCTGCAGCCCTCCCAGAAGCATTCTCCTCTCTTCATATTATGCATTCCACCTTCCCTTCCTTTCTTCTTTCCCTCCTTCCCTCCTTTCTTCCTTCCTTCCTTCCTCCCTTCCTCTCCTTCCTTCCTTCCTTCCTTCCTTCCTTCCTTCCTTCCTTCCTTCCTTCCCTCCCTCCCTCCTTGCTTTCTCTCTCTCTCTCTCTCTCTTTCTTTCTTTCTTCTTTCACTCTTGTTGCCCAGGCTGGAGTGACATGGTGCAATCTCGGCTTACCACTTCCTGGGTTCAAGCGATTCTCCTGCTTCAGCCTCCTGAGTAGCTGAGATTACAGGCATGTGACACCATGCCCAGCTAACTTTGTATTTTTAATAGAGATGTGGTTTCTCCATATTGGTCAGGATGGTCTTGAACTCCTGACCTCAGGTGATCCGCCCACTTCGGCCTCCCAAATTGCTGGGATTACAGGTGTGAGCCACTGCACCCGGCCGCATTCCAACTTTTCTATCTCTCTTCCCCATCTCTTCTTCCCTTGCCCAGCCATCTTTCATTTTTATTTTTTTCTCCATCTCTTTCCTTCCTTTCACCCACTTCATTTATGTTTTGTGTCTGTGTCAAGCCCTCTCCACCATGCTTTTTATTGGTGGTGGGTCAATTGTAGTAATGGCCTCAATCAAACGTTTCCTTCTGCCCAGTACCTCTGTGGTCCTCTCCCACTCAGACTCCAGGCTCAATAATATGGCAAAAGAGGACAGCAGCAAACTTGAAGCAAAAAACAAAAAACAAACAAACAAACAAAACTTTAAAAAACTGCTTACTGCTTCCTTTCTTGAACCCTTGCTACAGCCAAGAAAATATATGCTGCTGGTCTTCTGCAGATATATACAAGACACATGAAGGATTTTTTTTTTTTTTTTTTTTTTTGCACCAGAAGTTATTGTTGCCTAGCCAGCTCCCAGCCAGTCCACCAGATAACCGCTTACACATTCAGAAGCTCAGCTGAGATCAACAGGGTCCAGCCCATAACAGTAGAACCAACAAGTTGATCCATAGGCATCTTGTGAGAAATAAGAAATGGAGTTGTTTTAAGCCACTATATTTTGGAGTGGTTTATTACACAGCAGTATCAATCAGTACATTCTCTGTTAAATATCAAATAGCCAATAGAATAGAATATGGGTGTTTCTCCATGAAATGAGGTAGTATTGCTGATCCTAATTTTCTGGGAATCAGATAAATGTGTATTTTTAAGACATTGGGTCTCACTGTGTTGCCCAGGCTGGAGTGCAGTGGCATGATCATAGCTCACTGCGGCCTCAAACACCTGGGCTTAAGCAATCCTCCTGCATCAGCCTCCCTAGTACTACAGGTACACATCACCATGCCCAGATTTCAGATGAATACCTAATTCTAGGTACAATTAAACTTGAAAAATTGGGATGTTCCAGTAGAAAGGTTTCATTTTCTGCAGCATTTTTTTTTCATTCTTCTATATCTCTTTAGTTCATTCTTTTGTCTGTGCATTTCAAATACTAAGCCCAATATATATAAATTACCTAGATGTAGATTCATTTAACATGAAGAAAATTTAGCCAAAACCAAAATGGATAGCTTCATGGTGTACAGTTTTCTATCACCGAAAATTATCTGACATGACCAACCCTCTAGGAAGATCACTATAAACCATCTTTGATTCTTCCAGTTATCAACTTAAATTTTTTTCAAATGATTTTGACTTTTCCAAGCTTCAACATGTAAATTGTTAACAACGGTACAAACTCAAATGATAAGGGTGAAATACTCTACCTATATGTAAAGAGAGCAGAAGTTAGGTAGAAATCATCATTTGCGGTCAAGAGTTATGCTTTAACTTGTTGCCAGTTTTTTAAATGTACATACTCATGGGTTAATGATTTCTGATTACTGCATCTGTCAAACCACTACTACCATATAACTCTGAGTCTTCATATAATTGAGGATTATCGAGTAGAAAATAGATTCCTAAGAATGACGTCTACTACATATAAATTATTTTCCCCCAAAGGCATACACATTGTCCATGCTGTTTGACAAGATAGAATCCATTCACTCATTCATCAGATATTAATTGAATATATTTTCTATATTTTTGTAGGCACTGGAATTACAGCAGACAGGAATACAAAGACCCTTCTCTCACAGAGCCTACATTCTAGACAACAGGGACAGGCATTAAAACAAGCGAACATAAAACCTATAGCATACTAGAAGGTGGTTAGTACCAAGGAGAAAACTAAAACAGAGTAAAAAGATAGAGAGGAATGGGGGTCTCTAGGAGAAAAGAGAGTCACAGAAGCTCTCTCTGAGAAGGCGATTTTTCAGCAGAAACTCGAAGTAAGAGAATCTGTCATGTGGATATTTGGGAAGCAACTGTGGGTAGATGCACTGGCACATGTAAAGGGCTTGACTGAATTGCTTTTGGTATATTTTAGGAGTTAAAGGGTTATCTCTACAGCTGGAGCAGAGGTACCAAACAAGAGTGTCAAAGGCGATGGGAGGTAGCAGGGGCAGATCATAGGGAGCGTGTATTTCTTGCAAGGCATGACAATGACACTGGATTTTAGTCCAAAAGATACAGAAAGATTTGGGAGGTTTTGAGCAGAGGAAAGGACATTCCTTTATTTTGGGAAAATATCACACTGGCTGCTGGTAAATCAAGACTGCAGAGGGACCACGGGAGCCAGAGAAACTAGTTAGGGTATCAC